AACCCCTATAATTGATAATATATGCTTTTCACCTCTACATCAAATATGACAGGATTATGTAAGAATAGATTTACATTTCGTCTACATAATGACCTCTTCCTTCTGCACAACTACATTCCTAACCCTCATCTCTCTCCCTCTTTCCCCTTAGAATAATCCCAGCTGTCATATGGGATTAGTTGTATTGCTACTTATTAGCAGAAAAAACAGTGTGAGTCAAAGCAGATCAAGCTGGCTGCTTATCAGAGCTAATAGCTTAATTTCACCCAGTGGTAGTCCCTCCTTCGATGGCTAGAATAACACCTCTGACTCATACTGGTGTTTCAACTCATAAACAAAATCTTTGACACATGCTTTCACTGATTATACAGTATGGGTACTTGTCTTTTCATTCCAAAAGACATGCTCTAAAAATGCAAAGTGTCTATATATAATAAACATGTCAAGAATGTAATTGAAAAGCAGCAAACATGCTTTTGAAAACCTGCTTTACATATTTTGAATCTCGGTTAAACACTTTGGCCTGGTTTTTCCTGCTTTGTGAACTCAATTACTGTAAATTCCAACTGCTTCATTTACTCAAACAGATACTGAATCTATAGCTCATTTAATTTGCTAATTTTCTTGTGTAAGCCGTTATGGGTCATGTAATTTATCTTGTATGATGAATAAGTGTGCAAGTAAATTAATATTACAAACCGCAGCTGATAACGGTTCAAAAACATGACTACAAAATAAACTAGTGCTGTATGGGCCCTTCATAAATCAGGGATGTACTTGAATAATTGAATTATACTTCTGTACTAAAGTATTCTTTTGGATAATTGTACTTGAATACTATTGAAACTGAACACTGGTACACTTTCCAACAAACCAATTTATATATTTACATTTGTTTAAAGGGATGGTTCACACAAAAATTAAAATTCCACCATCATTTACTCACTGTCATGTTGTTCCAAACCTTTATGAGTTCTTTTTTTCTGTGGAATACAAAAGAGAGAAAAAAACTTTTTTTCTTGGTCCATACAATGTTCCTTAAAAACATCTTTAGGTTTCTGCAGAAGTAAGAAATCCATACAGGTTTAGGGTTGGTAAGATTTTGTATTTTTTTAAAGAAATTAATTAATACTTTTGTTCAACAAGAATGCATTAAATTGAAGCATCCAGTTAGGCATTAAACATTTTTATTCATAAAAGAACATATGAAAAAGTTATTTGATTTCCACAAAAATATTAATCAGCACACTATTTCACAATATTACTGCATTTTTAAGCAAATAAATGCATCTTTGGTGAACATAAGCGACTTTCAAAAATATTCAAAAATCTTACTGACCCCAAACTGAATGGTAGTGTAAGTTCCGAATAGAAGTACAGAAGTACATTAAATTCTGCCTGGGTCAAACAGCCCCTAGACGTTATATTAAACAGATTCTAAAATATCAAAAGAAGAGTGACATTTTGTAAAGAACATGCAAAGAATATATGTTGCTGGTCTAATAAAATAAGTAAGTTTGCACTTGTTCATTTGTTTGCAGTGAATTGTGACAATTTCTCACAAGCCAGTTACACCACAGTAAGCCTGACCTAATGTATCTATGTTGTATGCTTTAAGTACTGTGTAAAAACAAGTAATATGTACCTGTAGATCATTTTGGTGTTGGTGCCTATTGATTCCAGCAAAGAGTACCCATGGATCTGCATGAAATACCCCAACTGCTGCAACTCCAGGGCAGAGCTGGATCTGCCTTCCCAGTGGGGACAACCTGCTGTGTGGTGTGAGCTCAATCCTGTCCCTTGTCTCTGGAGGAAGCGGCCTGCGGATCTCTCAGAGCGCTGAGCACTTCTCTGCCTAGGGCTGGGAATGTCGCTGCAAACTGCTTTGTACAGGTACATTT